GGCGGCTTTGAGTTGGATGAAAGAACAAGGCTTTGAGTCAGACTCGATGCAGGCTGTTGTTGAAATTAAGAAGGATTTGAGCTGCTCATCATCCAGACTTCTAAGACCATTTGTAGTGGTGAAGAGTCCAAATTGTTAAATTTGGACTCCGTTCATATGAAAACAGTGTTTAGACTCCGTCAATACTGTTTTTTTCTGCATCCGTGCACCGTCAATAAAATACACTCTGCATATTTTTTACACATCAATTTAGTAAAACATTAATTAAATTATTATTAGTAATGTTTTACTTTTAATTTTTTCCGTGAATAATTATAAAATAAAAAATACACATTTCGATGTAAAAAATTAATTTTTTTTATGTTTTTCGATTTACAAACTGAGTTCAAGCACATTGGAGCATTGGATTCTCTTCTCAAATTGTGTATCTATCTATAGCACATTAAATTATTTTCTAAGTTAGTATCGAAACTTAGTAATAGCACATTCTCTTCTCTTCTCAAACTTAGTAATATTTCGAAATATTTATTAAGTATCGACTATTAACTAAAAAAATGGATGAGTGAAATAACAACACATGGAATTTAAACAAAATATGAAGAAGAATGAGATAGATGGAAGAGGTGTGATCAAAATAGGAAGAATAAGGGTGTTTATATAGAATTTTCTGATCAAATATTAATTAAAATAATTGAAAAATAAAATAAATAATTTGAACCGTTAGATTTTAATTTTGGCCGTTGGATCTTTTTTTTTGCTATTGGAACAGTGTCAAAATGATCTCAACCGTTGGATCTTTCCAAAAAAATTAAAAAAAAATCTGGCTGTTTGAGCATTAATTTAGTGCGCGGTGACATCATCATGACGTCACCATGATGCCAGCTATGTTTTCTTTGCAGCTCTGCGCAACGTACGAAGCTGCAGGTGGGCTGGTCCCCCTATTTTCTTTTCTTTTTCATTTATTTTTGCTCTGTCTATCCCTCCCTCTATTTTTACACTCCTTCACTCCCCTTCCCACTTTTACTCCCTCTTTTAATTCCCCACTACACACAAATAAGAGTCTAAAACTTCCAAATTTAATCTTTTGACTCTTAATTTTGAACCACCACAATATTAGAGAAATTGTTGTGGGTTTCACAAGCGTACAACGGTAGGGGTGGGCATAAAAGCCGTAACCGACTAACCGTACCGAATAACCAAAAAACCGGTGTTTATTTCGGTTAATCATACCGTATTTATACAAATTCGCGGTACGGTTAACCAACCGAAAGAAAAGAACGGTACATGCCGGTTACGGTTATCAAAATAAAATTACCTCCGATTAACCAATAATCCAAAGTTCAAATATTATTTCTAAACTAATTCCACAGTAAAAAACCATTACGTGAGTATGGACCGTATGGTGGCCTACTGGGAACGACAATGTGTGTTACTAATTTATTATGGAGTATTACCGAGTAGTACGCAGATTAATGTCGAGCAAAAAGCCAAAAAGTGGTGGGATAGGAGCTAAATTATTATTGGTTGATTAATTAATTAATTTCTCATACAGCACAATCAATTGATGAATGAAAACACGACGCAATGCATAATTAATACGGAGTACATGCATAATTCGATTCTCACGGGAAAGTGAATTATCACTGGGACTAAATTGGATGAGCGACTTAATAATAGGAATGTTGACGTATCTTTTGTTGTTTAAACTAGTACAGTACTCATGCATCGGCAGGGGTTGTAACATTTTTGTATGTAAATTATAATTGATTGTGAATTAGTCTTTTTACACATGAAACAAAGTCTTTCAATGTTTAAAACAAAAAATACAGAATGATCAAATTGAACATTACTATGTAAATGTGATGTTTCAGTAAGAACTAAAGTATAAATTTGATACAACGATTAAATTATTATCCTTCTCCAATGATAATAAATGGAGGTTCACAAAGTTGAAGAACCTACTTTGGAGAACTATTTGATAAACTAAAAAGAAAACAAATAGAAATAATTGCTATAAAATGGTATGTCAATTTCACCAAACACTTTGTGGTTCGAAGACATCACTGTGACACTCCCAATAAAGATGTCACAGGTTTGAAACTCATCCCAGTTAAGGAGTTGGCATTTAACAGAACATATACTATAATATTGAGATAAATTGAAATCAAACTTACTTCATTGAGCAATCATATAATCAATCAAATGCAACTAAAAGTAACCGAAATTTATATAAGGAGATCTTTATTAGTAAGATTCCAAATATTTACAAATTTATTAAAAAGCTAAAATGCTTGTGCATAGAGAATGAAAAAGGCTTTTTTTACCCCTTCATCTCAAAGGTGTGAAGCAATGTACCTTGAAAAATAGCATGATGAGGAATACAAATTTCACATACAAATAAGAGTTAATAAAACCTAAAGCCGAAATCAGACATGAGTGTTTATCCCACTATTTATTAAACCCTCATAAATCAATTCAAGGATAAGGATAAGGGAAGAAGAAATAATATACATTAGTTGTCATGGACATTGTGACGCTCATAGAATAAACACATTTATAAAAACCAATACTCGCCTATTCAACTAAAAAAAATCTTATAATCCATAAAGTTTCCAATCAATTTTTTGGATGTGGTCAGGTTGTACTCTGCAATTAGGACTTGAATTACCCAGAGATCTTTGGAAGAACTACACATATAATGCAAAAATAGGATAAGAAAAATGAAGTTAAAAAACTAAAATGAAATGATATGAATGAGATTGCACACATCTGTTACAGAATGCTACTTGAAATCTTGAAGTAATAAGAATTGAAAAAGGAGAGGTACCTCTAAATGTCTGAAACTAAAATTTCATAATTTCATATACATAAAAGATACAAAGAAAGACAAAAATCTGCACATATATTTTAGAAAGAATTATTAAGAAAAAACTCATATTTCATATAAAAAATGAGCTACAAAGAGAGCATTAGAGCTACAAAAATGAGCTATAAAAAACTCATATTTGAGTTTAATAGGAGAATTAAACTCAAATAGGAGATTATGGCAGCCATATTAAGATAAAATAATCTGTCTTTTCCCCTAGTTTTCATCTTCTTAATGTTTTGTTTTTCTTGTTCTAAATCTTAAATGGAATAATATTGGAATCACATGTTTCAATGATTGTATTGATTATCTTGTAACCCTGACTTATCCAAATAAACATTCTTTTCTATTTTTCCGTAGTCTACTTTCTTAATTGGAGTTTTTGACATTTATGGAGACATATGTAAATCCTAGCATACTTGGAGAATTGGAGTGTTTATTTGTCATGTATCCCATTTCACTAAGCATTTCAGAAAGAAGGAAAATCAAGCTATACCATCACAACTAAACATGATGGATTGTATACTACTCCCGTAAGTAACAATACCAAATAAAGTCATTTTAATTTTCATCATTTTCATTTACCATTTAGCATTAGACAAAATAAAGAAAATATCACCTAACCTTCTTTTCTATTTATTGTTATTATACAGAGCATCATCCGATGTGAATGTTTAAATAGATTAAACACAATCCTAAGTGAGTGCTCAATTAGGTGTGTATTTAAAGAATACGCTAGAATATATTTCAAAGGAAGCAGGAGAGAATGAAATACAAAATGTGACCCAGTCTGCAAACCTCTTTGAGCATATACATTACCTTCTACTTTGAAGTTTCTAAAGTAGTAGGAAATAGATTAAAAATATGATTTTGAACTGCCATATTTTATTTGCAAAATTTGAATCCATAAGCATTACTTGTATTCAGATAATAATAGGTGCCTGATGCTAGTGAAACCCCAATGTATGAGCATAATTAATAGGGAGTACATGCATAATTCGATTCTCACAGGAGAGTGAATTATCACTCGGACTAAATTGGATGAGCTACGTAATAATAGGAATGTTGACATATCTTTTGTTGTTTAAATGGTTTGTGGTTAAGCAATACTCGATTAACCGAAGTAACCGGTTTCTCGGTTAACCGGAAAGTTGGTTAACCAAAATCCGGTTAACCAACCATGCCCACCCCTACTGCCCTACACAACGGTACAAGTAGGGTTCTGTGAACAAGGCGCTCACGCTATAGAGCAGTGGCGGGTTCTGTGAATGAATGTTGTTTTTGATTATTTTATCCTCGTTCTAACTGATCTATATATCCGATTCTGATCCACCTTCCAGTTCCGATTTATTACAGAGTATTTTTTCAAACTCTCGATCCTCATACTCACCACACCCTTTTCAACTTTTAAATGGACCCAGCCCCTATGAAGTTGCTTCCAGATAGACGTAATGCAAAAAAAAGGAGACTGGACCTTTCAGACCCAGTCCCAATAAATCAACTAGGATCAGTCGCCCTATACCCGCCTAGGCATGGACCGGTCCTGGGCTGGTCCTGAGCGGGCTTTTTGTGTTAGTCTTCGGGCCCGGAACCGGCCCGGGTAGCCACCGGGTCTGGGCCGGTCCGGTCCCCGGGCTTCTTCATTTTTTTTTGCTTTTCTAATTACCCCCCACCCCAACGCCCCCCAAAACACCCAACCCAACCCGGGAAAAACAAAAAAAATGAAAAAAATAGGCCTGAACCGGGCTCGGCCCGGCCGGTTCAGCTTTTGGGCATCCCGGAACCACCCCCGTATATCCCTCGGGTCAGGCCCAGGCCCGGTACCGGGACCGGTCAACCGGGCCGGTTCGGTCCCGCACAGTAGTGGGCCGGGCCGGGCTCCGGGCCGGTCGGACCGGGTCCAGCACTATACCCGCCTCCCAGTCTATGTTTCGGACCAGAAAACTTGTCCCCGTTAAACAAACAGCCTGTCATGGGATGGGGACTTTATCCAACCGCATGCAACGCAATAGCCCGCAAGTCCATCACTGGAAATTTGGGTACATGATAATTGATGGTCAATTGGATAAAATCCTGTTCGAATGAGTGGAAGCTACTCAATTATCTCTATTTACTCAGAACTAGACTTACTCATGGACTCATGGGCTCATGGCTCTAATATTAGGAATAAAGAAAATCCAAAATTTTCAAATAAAGAACTTCATCTTTAAAAGAAAATCCAAAAGTTTAGACTAATTATCTGTGTCAAAGACCACTTTGACCCCTATCTACAACCCACAAGTGCATACTGTACGCATTAACCCCAGAAGGATCAATGTCAACTATCAAAGCATACATCATTCACATAAAGAACTGAGTGACAGAAAATTTCCCCAAGTCAAAACTACGGCTTACAAAAGATAATAAATATATCTCATACTTGAGAGGCACGTCAGCACTCGGCACCAGCCAGCCCTATGAGTATGGAAGCTTACATGTTCTTATGCTATGATGCATACCAAAACTGGTAACCGGGCTACCCAGCGGAAGATGTAGATGTTCTTCTTTATAATTGATAGCTCGAAGACACAGGCCATGCGGTGGAAGTGACAATGCATACTTTGCAAGTTGCTTTCTATCACAAGTTTCCAAAATCTTGGGAATAATATCAGGTGGAACTGCTTCCCTTCCAACTTGAAGCAACAAACCCACCTGCCAAATCATAGTACCTTAATGCATGAGGTACCCAAAAATGACCAGGAACTCGTTTGATAATACTTAAAAGGGATAAAGGCCAAAAATGACACTAAGGTTTTTAATGAAGTTCAGATGAGACACTAAAGTTTTAAATAGACCAAATAAACACAAATTTAAAGCTTTTGATTCCATTTTAGCCACCCTTAACTGCTCCGTTATTTTATCCCGTCATCGAGCCTTCCAAGGTCCCCTCACCCTTTCTTCTTCGACCTTCGTCTCAACCTTCTCCACCCATAGCTTCTTCCATCTAAAAACCTTTGCTTCCCGGAGCCCAAGAGAACAAGGGCATCGGCATCCACTCATCCAGAAAAAGCAATTAGTGCTACCCAAGTTGATTTCCCAGCCTCACTCCACTCCGGAATGTCTACTTTTCCTTTCCTTTCGTTCTTATTAAGTCATATTCAATCCAATCAGTCCAAATTCACTTTTAATAAGCCATATTCAATCCAACCATATCATTATTTTCAACCAAATCAAGGAAAATCATAGCTTGACCATCAATTTCACATATTGTTGTTTCAAAATAGAATAGGTTTAGAAAATTACCGAAGAAGGATTAAGTCCCCAATCTAAGCCGATGAAATGGAAATTATTTACAAACAAGAAGGAATCCAGACAGTGAATTCCTCCCTTACCATTGTTTGTATTGCTATTTCCAATTCTGAGTGCAAGCGGCTAGTCTTGCAGGTTAGCTGGAGCCGAAAAATGGTTTTGGCCGAAGAGAAAAGATATGTGGTGAGTTTTGCAGGCCCACCGGAGTCTAAACAAGCTTTTGGGCAAAGAGGGATGATGTATATTTATGGGATTTGGGTTTTCAAATGTTTGGCCAGAAGATATGGGAGCTGGAGTTGCTTTGGGTTTTGGGGGAAGATGGACGGTAATGTCATAACTGACGGGAGAAAAGCATGAGTGTCCAAATATGATGCAAAAACCTCTAATTTGTGTTAATTTGGTCTACTAAAAAGTTTAGTGGCCAATATGAGTTTCTGGAATAACCTTAATGTCATTTTTGAACTTTCTCCCTACTTAAAAGGACCGAATTTGTGGGTGACATTGTTACAGAAAGTAGATATATGTATCCAAGAAAATAATATCTAAAAAAGATAAAACTATCAAAAACATCCATTTCGGCGAAAAAATCATTAACTAATTTTTTTCATTGCCAACCGATTCAACCAGTGGAGTTACAATCAATGGCGGAGCCACTTATGTTCAAAGGTGTTCACATGATGACATGAACACCCAATTTTTTAAAGTAAAAAACGTGTAGGTATATATGTGAAAATTTGGTATAATTATTTATTACTCTTTACATTTATATTTGGAAAAATGCATTGAACACCCAACACTTAAATTTTAAATCCGCCACTGGTTACAATAGCATAGTGTTTCACAAAAAAATTGATAAGCCAAAACTAAAGCATACCAAATGGGCTCAAAACTTAATTGCCAAAATCATGAAACAAAGTGAAGCATCAGTGACACTTATCATGCCAAACTAAGGAGTGGATGAATGATGTACCATGTTTCTAACTTGTCTGTAAAGAAAACCAGATCCTTCAACTCTAAGCTGCAATATAGGTCCCTGCATGGCAGCATCACTTTATATGATGTGAGTTGATCAACCCTCTTAAAGGGACTGTTTGTGGTCCACTAAATCATACACGCACACTGACACACACACACACACACACTTCTGTAAGAGAGAGTCTCCAAGGGAAGGAAGGTAGGTGTGAACCCAGCCCGGTTCTGGGTCATGGAAAGGGTGGACCTTAAACAGGTATACCCGGTGCTGTTCCCGTCACTTTACCTTGACATTTCCAATCTAGTTATTGGGCTGGTTCCTTAGCCTTTTTTGGGATAGGTCCGGGAAAATACCATCCATATAAACTTAAATAATGTACACAAAAAAGGGTGCTTGATGACTTTGGGGTGGGCCCGATCTACCCCCCTGCCTACACCTCTAAATGTATGTGAGAGAGTCCATCCCAGGGCACTACCCTTACGGATAACATATACAAACCCATCTAATATGATGAAACCTTCCTACAATTTTATCACAAACAAATGAGATTTAAACATATACCGTTTCAATTACATCAAACTGGAGGATGTTCTTCACACGATCTCTCACTCGGTCATCCCGAGATGCATTGGCAAAAGCTGAGAAGTCGTGCTTCCCTATGAAATATTTTGCAGCATCTCTCATGGCATCAACATTAAGTTTATAGTCACTGTGGTAAGCATATAGCCTCTGAAAGGGGTCCAAAATGGTGCCATTGTAGATCTTGTACTCGTAAGTTTTGCAAATCGCAGAAAAACGAGCATGGAATTCATGAGGAGCCGCACTAATTTCTTTGACTCTAATATCAGAAGGAAGAAGAGCATTTATTGATCTGTGGATACCATCCAGTGTGTCAAAGTTGAAAGGTGTAATAAAGTGTGCCACCTGAAACCAAACATAATTTTCTCTACTTATTTAAAACCGCACTGTCTTTTTTAACTCCGATTCTATATGTCGATTCATGTTAGATGATCCCAAACTCTTTTAGCACTAAGACTTGGATGTTTGTTATCCTTAAAATCACACTGAGCCCACATGGTAAAGTCTAAGTCTCCTATGGCGGAAAGTGGTTCAATTTGCTAAAATACTGCTAAATTGCTAGATTTACTCAAACATATATTTATTTGCTACGTTTATTATAGAAATGAGTATCTAAGACTCTAAAAGGGAAGGTTAAATGGTCATTTTCATTCATTTCAGCCAAAAACTTAAATCACAAGCTACTTTTATTTCATTATTAACTGCTTTAGTCATTGTACTGATCCTGATACGCCAACAAATGCTTACCAGTTACCAAACAGGGGCTCTAAACTCATGTGAGCTTAAGACTATGGAAATGAAAGCAAACCTGACCCAAGGCATGAACCCCTGCATCCGTTCGGCCTGCACCAACCAAGTGAAGATCTTTGTGTTCCAGTTTTGTAATTCGAGTTAAAGGCCGTTCTAATATGCTCTGAACTGTTGGAATTGATGGTTGATATTGCCAACCTGTTGAGTTTTCAAGGTTCATGTCATTCCAGGGTGACAATAATAAAAAATAAAAAATTCCCATACTTGAAGTGTTCTCTGATTATATGTACATAGCGAGGGCATCTGAGATTCGAATTTAAGAATTAAAATGAAAAAAAAAAACAATAATTTTGGGGTAGTGCAAGAAAGAAGACCTGAAAATCGGGTTCCATCGTAAGCGATGACCAAGCGCCACTTATAAGAGTGGGGATGGTTATCTCCAGAAAGCAAACTCTGTTGATTTCTCCATTAATGTCAGCATATACATCGCAGAGCAGAACGAAAACGCAAATGAGCAATTAGGGAATTAAAAACGGTGGAGTATTATTATACATAAACGAAATTGTTTTAAAAGCAGTTCAATGAAATGAATACCGCGGATGTAGGGAATGAAGGAGAAGAGGAAGCTTCGGCAAGATGACCAAGTGAAGCAAGAGTGACAGCTGCTGAGATACTCATGCGTCGTAAATTATCAGCCCTTTTGCCGCTTTGCCGGTCGGGTGCTCCTTCCCTTCCCGGCGTTTCTTCTCAGCTCACCGGTAATCTTCTGAGAGAATTCCCTGATTTTTTGAAGCAATATGTTTTTTATTTCCAAGTTTTGTAACGTTTGTAAGAAAATAAAAAACATAATACTCATAATTTGGAATTTCAAAACGTTTTTACTCATAATTTCTGTAATCTTTTATCATGCAATAACGCTTTGGTCATAACAAGTCTAAGAAGCTGTTCTCTTCACCTGATATATATATTTCTGATCTGAATTATTTAAGTTCTGATATGATCTGATCTAAATTTTTCTGATCTGATCTGAATCTTTCTGATCTGATTTGATCTGATCTGAATCTTTCTGATCTGGTCTGGTATGATCTGAATGTTTCTGATCTGATCTGAATTCTTCTGATCTGATCTGATTTGATCTGAATCTTTCTGATCTGATGTGATTTGAATATTTCTATAATTGTAATTATAATTATAATTATTATTATTATAATTGTAATTACAAATATAACTTAAATAAAATTATAATTATATTCATAATATTAAAAAAATAATAATTATTAAAATTAAAATTAAAATTATAATAATTATACCAATTACACTAATTATAAATATAGATACAATTATAAATGTAATTATATTTTTAATTTATAATTACTTATATAATTATTATTGTAATTATAATTATAATATTTATTTCTATAATTATAATTATATCTATAATTATAAATAGAATTATAATTACTCCATATAATAATAATAATTACAATAATAACAACAACAACAATAATAATATTAATAATAATAATGATTATAATTATAATTATAATTATAATTATAATTATAACAATAATAATATTATAATAATAAATTATATTATTATTATTATAACAATAATAATACGGAGCATAATAATAATATAATAATAACGTTATTATTATATCATAATATTAATATTATTACCATTGTTATACTGTTATTATATTATTATTATTAGTATTACTATTATATTAATATTATATTATTATATAATAATAATAATTATATTATTAACATTATATTATTATTTTATTATTATTATTATTATTATCATTATTATATTAATATATCAATATTATTAACAATAACTATAATAATTATAATAGAAATAATTATTATTAATATAATAATAAAAGTGATAAATCATGTTTGAATTTTTCTGATCTGATCTGATCTGAATGTTTCTGATCTTATCTGATTTGAATCTTTCTGATCTGATCTGAATCTTTCTGATCTGATCTGAATGTTTCTGATCTGATCTGATATGATCTGAATTTTTCTGATCTGATTTGATCTGAATAAAATAAGAATAAAGAATAAGTAGTAAGATTAAGACGAAGAGAACAACTTCTAACATATCCTTTGGTGGTAAGGAACTGTTTGGGGAAAGAAGTCCTTAAATAATATTCCCTTCTTTTATAGATGGCAGATTGGGATATAGCCTTTGGCACAAGGCTTAAGAAGGAATTAATTGGGGTAAGAAAACAGGTGTAGCGGGTTGTGTATAAAGAAAAAAAATAGGAAAGAGAATAACAAAGTTAGAAAGAAAATGAGGGTGGAGGTATATTTATTGAAAAAAAAATCTAAAATTGAAAAGAGAAACATGTATTGGAGAACATCCCAAAATGAAAAGCGGGACATGTATTAGAGAACAGAGGCAGTACAAAAATACTCCGTAAATGTTTTGAACAAATATCTACTTCCTTACTAATAAAGTAGAACCTTCTAATAGAAATTGAATTTTCAATTAATTGCTATTGAGTCCAATTAGTGAATAGTCATTAATTCCAATTAAGTCCTAAATTCATAGTATTTACTCAATTGATTACTATTGAATCCAAATAGTGAATATTCATTATATTAATTGCAATTAAGTCCTAAATTCATAGTTTTTATTCATATTACGGAGGAGAAAAGTTCACCCCCGGAATTCCGGAGTAGAACCGTCGTCTAGCCGCCGCGATTTGAGGATGTTCTTCATGAGGTTTAGATTATGTCCATAAAATTTCATCTAAAAATACGATTGAGAAGTCAGTTAAGTACATTATTGAAAAGTACTGCATTTTATATATAAATATTTTGACGTAGTGTTTTTCAATAATTTTTTTAATTAACTTCCCGATCGAATTAGTTTTCGTTATAGGATATTACCCAATTAAAACAATAGTTTCCGCTGAAAAATATGTGTGATGAAAATGTCCTTGTATTTTAAATATAAGATATAACGATGAAAAACTAATTGATATAAATTTCTCATTTATTTAAAATTTTACATTTTTATTTACTAACAAAACTTCCTTTCAAATTAAATCACACTTAATATAGGAGAAGAATTAAAAAAATGAATTGAGATTTTAAAATTTAAAAAATCAAACTGTACTGATAATGTATAATATAATACTATCTTTGTCCCGAAAAGGTTCAGCATAATGATTATTTTTGGTCAATGATGGCAAACTTGACACAATGATTTTAATTTTTATATTGAATATAATTTATTAATTTTATACTTTTATGAAAATATTTTGAATAAGGGACATTTTGATATAACTTTCGCATTAAAAATATCATTAATCAAAGTTTATTGTTATTGACCAAGAAAAGTCAATTTGACAAATCTTTTCAGAACGGAGGGAGTAATTAAGTAAATACTGAGTACATACACATTGTGTGATTCTCCTAAATAAATATAAATCATATTTATCTATATTTTTATATTCTCCATTAAATTATTGGATTAGTACTTTCTATTACATCTTAAAAAACTAATTGGATTAATTAGAAGTATATATTGATGACATGGCCAACTGCATGCTTCCGAAAAGTTTCTCTTTTATACATTTTCTCCGCTCCTTTTTAGTTACAACACTTCCGTTTTCACGTTTGCCAACACACCACTTTGATTATTGATATATACATAATTCGTTGTAAGAAAAAAAACGAGCTTTTTAGAAATTTAATTTGGGACGAATTAAACAATTTTTTTCAAAAATGTCTAATACATTAATGAATAAAATATAACCAAAGTAGGATGTGCGATTAGTGTAAAAATCAACATGTTTAGTATATATATTGAGTTTGTATCATTTTATTACAACAAATGGAATCACAAGAGCACGTTGAGGTCTTAAAATTTGTAGAAAATGCACAGTACAAGGAATTATTATTAGTCATATACTTCGTATATTGTTAAATAAACTCCATCTACGTCTTCTACTAGCTACTAAAGCTAATTCCAACTCATCATTTAATTTCATATTCCCATAAATATTGTCGCACTACCTACAATATTCATCAAGGAAATGCGAAGACAAAATTGTTGCATGTCGCGTCTTTGATTATATGGGATGAAGCGATGCTGATACGCGATGCATGTTCTAAGATTTTAGATGTTACACCAACAAACATCATGAGTAACTAACTACTTGCTATCGTTGATCGATGATCTAGGAGTTACATATCTTAGTTCAATTAATATTATTCTTTCACACACCGGTACTACTTTCCATGTTGATATGTACAATGTCAAATATCTTACTAGCGCTTCAATGGTTGGATTGCCCAACCATGTCCTTCATTTGAAAATTGGAGCCCCGATAATGTTATTAGGAAATATTAATCATGCATAAGTTTTATTCAATAGAACGTAATTGGTCATAACCAGATTGAAAAAACAAGTATGACAAATCATAAATTGAAAAGTTATGAAAGATAAAATTTACATATTAAAAATCTCATTGTGATCGTATGACAACTTTATTCAATTTCGAATAATGCAATTTCTTGTGATGGTAAGTTTTTGCAACGATAATTAAAAAAAATGTCCCTTCGGGGACATCCGATAAATTTGGTCAATGCTATATTTTGCCAAAAAAAAGGTCTCACATAAATATGATTTATACCTTGAAAGAGAAGTTTCATCAATGATCAATTGTACATTGCAATACCAAGAGTAACGCGTAAAGATATCTTAATATATTCATATGTTCAAAAGAGACAAATTTCTTCACCAAGACGATGAATGTCTTTTATAAAGAGGTTTCCCAATTTCAACCTAACAATGCGATGTATGGTTACAATGTAATGTGCAGTGTTACATTGCAATGTCACTTTTTAATATATTCTGTTTAGTTAAATTACTATTCACAATCAACAAAAATTTATTTGAAGTAAAACGTTTAATTATTTTTATATTCAATAAAATATATATATTTTATAAAGATTCAAACATTCACAACTTTCGGCCGGGGCAACGCCCGGGTAAAACACTAGTAGGATTATATTTAAAAACTTTCAAAAATGAGACTAATCTCTTACCAATGACAATGACCAATCTGAACAATGATCAATTCAATCAATGATCAATTCAACCAGTGACCAAACCAATTAATGATCATGACCAACCTGTCTAATTACCATGATCAATTCGACTAGTGACCAACCCAACTCGTGACAATGACAAATTCTGCCCATAAATAACCCAACAAGCGACCGTGACCAACAAGCGGCCGTGACCAACAAGCGACCGTGACCAAGCCGACCATGACCAATCCGACCATGATCAATCCGAGCACAATCGATCTAACCATGACCAACCCGACCATGACAAACACGGCCATTGACCACCCCGGCAATGACCAGTCATTGCCCATGCCTCGTCAACCACCATCAAGCATGCTTTGGCTGCTGCTTCCTAACAGCCCCCCCCCCCCCCCCCGCTGCCGCCGCCCATGCTTCGGCTGTGACCGGATCTACCCTACAAACCCTACTCACCATGAAGTATCGTCTTCCAAACCCTATCACCTCGGTCGCTCTAGGGCGGCGGTTCAGGAGGGGGACGGTCAGTCAATCTATCTTCTTCAATTCCTTGCTCAGAACTCGATTCAGAAATTGCCAGACAATTTTCCAACCGAAAGTATCAATCATAGACCTCCAGATTCAATCCATAACAACACATCCAGAAACATCAACCATAAAGAAGCAGATCATGGATAGGTAAAACGTGATAACAACTACCCATCCACTTAAGCTCCAAATCATTCACCGGACAAGAAACGACGCAAGCCGTCTGTCGGAAAGCC